ATGAGCGCGTGGTCGGAATCCACAAGCATGTTTAAAAACGACCGGCAGTCAGCTATTGATCTGCGCCATCGGTAAATGACGGCAATACGATCGATTTGAGTTAGTGGACGGAATGCCGTTGGAGAACGCCATGTGGTCGGGTGACATGGGCTATTTCGGAAGTTAATACTGTATAAAGACAGTCTGTCACTATCAACGGGTACCCAGTCAACCAAGGATCCTTCCACTCTGCCACGGCGGCCTCTGGATCACCAGAGAAGCACAGCCGGAAGCAAGTAGAGAGAGTGGCTAGACCAACCGCTAAAAATGGTCAAACCTTTCGGTGCCCAACTGCCATGTCGCCAGAAGGAAGCACGAACGCCGGGATACCACCGGGTTATCCAAGCTTAGACAGGGGAAGTCGAGAGGCAGTGGTCGGACCAGTCCGTAAATTCGCGCACAAACCACTGAGCCACCTCGCCCCCTACAGTCTTAGTGTTCGATTCTATCGAACGCACCCTACCCAGAGCTACCACGACGTGGTGGTAGGGCTTGAGTGCTGCACTGACTGGAAATTCGTTCCACAAGTTGCCAATATGCCATGAAGGTCAAAAGGGAGCAGTCAGGCCAAGAGAAGCGAGACTCCATACTACGAGTAATTGTGCTACGAGGCGGTCTGGGGGTAAAGTCGTGCTGTTCTCCTCTATAGGAGTACGAACGCAGTAAGGCGTTTCCCTCAGGCAACCAGCATGTCCATATTCATAGAAGCACTGATGCTGCGTTTCCCCGGGGGAGGGGTTAGAAAAGGTCAGCCCTAAAAACCGCACACTCGGATCACTCAACGCTTGACCATGACCACCAGCGCATTATTCAGTACGGTCGAAATACCTTTACAGCCAAAGAATCCGGTGCTGATCAGAAAGCACCTAGTTTGCGCAGCTGCATCAAGGGTGACAGTGGCGCTTTACTCCCTGTTCCATCGGGTGAGGCCAACCCCCTGCAGCCGAGCAGGTTATACTAATGAGTCATCGGCGTGGTCTTAAAAAAGCCCCTACTGTCCGCTGCCTCGCGGGCTAAACTTTTGAGTCCTCAAACACAACCATACATCCTCCCACTGCACTGTGGATCAGACTTCTGAGTCAAAGGCTCAAGGTGAGGTACCTCAAACAAACCGCCTTCCTCGGCCTGGGAAACCGGGAAGTATCACTTGCCCGCACATTTCAGTGTCCACCGATGTTCCCCCCAACCCATTCCCACCACACAAGCAAACGTTTTTGGGTCAATTGACTGTCAATTATTTCATTGAAGGGCCTTAGGTTCCCAGCCGCTTACTAACAATAAACAAAATAACGCCTTTCTAAATCCACAAGATCCTTCCTATGTAGTTTTTAACGTCCGTACTCTATGTCAAAATGACAAAAAGGCAATGCTCGCTCACACCTTGTACTCCCTTCAAATTGATGTATGCTGTGTCCCCGAAACACGCATACATGACTCAAGCGTGATTATGCATCTCATAACGCCAAAGATAAACTCAGGTCTTTCACATTTCTCTCTTCGTGTGTCCGGTGATCCAGAAGCGATGACCCGTGGAGACCCGTGAGAACATCATAAACGAGATTCAGCTGGGTTCCAGGTGAGTCTCTCGAAAGAACCAAATTAGTTTGCAAATGAGTGTATATTCGCTATATGGTGTGAGATTTGCACTCAGCCCCAGAACTGAACGCACTTTGCTGGAATGGATCCCAGTGAAAGTCATCTTTGCGCCGTCTGGTTATCCAGCTCAATCAACCTCAAAGCCTCTCGGCATTAAAATCGGTGCCTGTTTGTAGTGTCGGCTTATGACCCAAATGACTGCAGTTGACGCTGAGAAGGACACCTTCTACTGAAAAGTTATCCGGGCCCATTCGTCAAGCAAGAAGCACACACATTGTGATCCTTGAAGGTGACCTGAAAGCTCAAGTAGGTCGTCTGAGCTCTTTGGAATCACATTGGGCGGTCAATTCGGAGTCTATGCTCGCCGCACAGACAACGGAGATCGACTCCTTCAGTTGTGTGCTGATCATGAATTGTTTCTGGCTAGTAAGAACTTTCAGCATAAACGTTCGCATCGCGTAAACCTGCAGCCACCAACTGCAAATCAACCGTGGACCCAGTTGGAACACGTGGCCATCAGCCACCGGTGGAGAGCTACAATTCGGGACTGCGGTTGCTTCTGTGACACACAACTTGACTCCGATCACGCCATAGTGAGTGAACACTTGACAGCTCGTTTCCCCTCAGGCCCTTCCGAGTCATTCGAAAAACTACCACAGCTCAGCGGTATCAAGCTAAGCAGCCCAACAACTCTCCACAATAAACCAATACCACATTGGTATTGAGCAAGTGGATGAAGCGTGGCAAAATGAGAAAGGAGCTATGTGATCGGCCTTCGGTGCTGTCTATCCGACTTCTCCGATGCGACCACAGGACGGCTGGATGTCGTCGAGATCGCTCACCATGACTGATGTCAGGAAATCAATACCAGCAGACAACCGGTACGACGGCGCACGCAAATCCTTCAAACGCCAAACAGTAAAGAGCTCAAGGAAAGACCGGGAGTTCTGATGAACATCGAAAGCTTTTTCTACAGGAAACAACCATGCCCTAGAGCAACTGATAAGATTCATTGGCCCTAGGAAAGTAATGTTCAGTGGAACTCACAAAAACACCGGCTTCAAAGATGGGCCGACCACTTCGAAGAACAGTTTAGCTGGCCTCCTGCAACATAGCCCGTGAAGATAGTGCGGACGGGCGAATGGAGTGTAAAGTTTGATTGCTCGCTGAAAGATGGAATGAAGTACGATATATCCGTACTGGAACGTGAAAAGACATCGGGACCAGATAGTCTGCAACCAGCCTCCTTCAAAGAAAGCAGAGAATCCCTGATGACCCAACTGACGAAGATTATTTGTGCTATTTGGGACGAATAGAAAGTGCCTGAAGAACGGGACAGTCAATCCTATCTACGAAAAAGGGGACGCGAACGTTGTGTGAAAAAATCGTTTAGCTGCAGCACCCTTTCAGCGCCTAACTGCCATGCTACCAGAAGGAAGCACGAGGGATGGAATAATGCCAGGTCGCCCAATCCTAGGCAGGGAAAGTTGGGAGGCAGAGGTCAGGTTCGAACCACGAACCTTCCGGTCAGTAAATTCGCGCACTAACCACAGAACCATCGCACCCTCGATAGTTTCCTCTGGCCTTATCCTTGGACGGTTGACTGCACATAGGGAGAGGCAGATCCGCGAAAACGAAGCCGGGTTCCGTCCTGCAAGGAGATGCTTCCATCAAATATTCAACCTCCGACAGATTCTGGAACAGGACTGCTTCGAGCAACCAACAATAGTTGTGTTCCTTGATTCGAAACCTATCCTTGACTCTGTGGACCGTCAGGCACTATGGCAGTGCCTACGGACCATGCGTGGGTTTGTGTCAGCAAATCTGTAACGAGGCAATTGGAAAGCGAGTTCTCGGTTGTGTAACGGGAACTTCTATTGAAGAATGTGTCCAGCACCAGAAGCTGCGTTAGTTAGACAATGCATCGCATGTGTCTAACCATCGTTTGCCCGGCGGTGTCCTTCACGCCCAATTCAGAATGGCTAAAGCAGAGAGGTGGCCAATCCTTGACCCGGAAGAGGGGTATGAAAGAGATTACGGAACGTTTAGGTGTTGTTTGTGCTAGTCTTTCATGTTCGATAACGCTTGATCCCTATTCCGCCTGGTTGGAGATGCTGCAAGATACGGCTGATAGTCGATGGTGTTCGTGTTGTTAGTTTCTATCCAGATTGCCTGGATGAGTGTCTGGAGGCTTATGCACCTCGGAATGATTGCAGTAAGGTAGCACTAAGCCCCATCCCTGTCCACCTTTATTCTTTTCTTCACACTAAGGCTTTCAAATAAATCACGATTGTGCAGCAGCGAGGATGATGATTTCTTTTAGCGCCGGTAGCTAAGTGTAGCGAGACTCGCCGATACTCCATCCTGATAAGTGGGCCACGCCAACAGAACTCAAACTCAAAAGTGTCCCTTTTATGCTAAACCATACCTACCTATATGTTTGCATCGGTGTTTCACAACATAGCACCTAGCACCGACATAGCACCCTCACACGACCGTGTTAGTGGAGTAGCGATGTTTAGGACCCGCCATCGAGAAATTTGTCTTTCATCGGACATATCAAGCTGTTGGTAGATGGGTGATTTAAAAGAGCTTGCACAAGAAAGTATTACATCTTCTTACACGGTATGCTGGTGAGTCCAATGTATCTGTACCTGCTGGGAGATACATGGTTCCCAGATTTGTAGACTGCCATGACTATCTTTCAGAAGCAGAGAGCGGGTCTTCTTCGTTGGAAGACTGATAAACGTCAGGTAGAGATGTTTTTCCAGCCTGGGAAAGTTTCCTCCAAGATGCCTGGATGGGCCTTATCTGGCCCCAACACGCTGAAGTATTTTGTCCTTTGCGAAAGTTGACAAATCATGATTGTACGGCGCCGAAGCATCAGCGTTGAACACCAAGCGTCCACTGTAGTCATTTAACACCTGTCACGCTATGCAGACATCAGTGATCGAGTATCTGGGGGCGTTTGGGGTTTTCAGATCAAAAGGACCAAGTTTTACAGCCATAATGTGGGACTATTCCCAAGGAGGCTTTGTAAGCACGATCGTGCTTACGAATACCCTTGGGGTTAAAAGCATCGATGCTTTTAACCCCAAGGGTATTCGTTCTTGGCGACAAACTGGCAAATTTTTTGCTCTCGCATTGGTGGTGCCTACGGTCACGGCTTACGCAGCCGCCAAGATAAATGCACCTGTCAATCTATCAGCCGAAGCCCTCCCAGGCTACCGACGAATGATGGAATTTCCCCTTCATACTCCCTCTGCCTCAGCGGCGGATCGCAAAGCAAGAACCCGGGTGATATAAATCTATCACGATATGTGTCCTGTGCACCAAATTCCACCGAAGAAATTATGAAAACTCACTGTTGTGTGCACACTGGAAGCGTCATCGCGCGCACCAGCTGATTGAACGCGGCCACCATTCTTTACTGACGTCGCTTCTTCTCCCTCCACTGTTTGTAAGAATTAAGTTACTTGTAAGAACTCACTTTTTGCCCGAAATTTCGCTGACACACCAAATCTCGGGATTGACGTCATGACCCGGGGTCCACACTGGGTGCAAACGTCGAGGTTGTGAGACCTTGGAAATCCAGTGGTTTGATTGGCTACGGTTTGGCTATAGCTAGTTTGACCGCAGGATCACGGATTAACGGGTTGACACACAGGACCGAAGGTCTATTGCGAACTTACCGAGTCGCGTTTCTTCTTGCCGTTCAATGACTTCCATCCAGCCGGAAGGCGCAAGCAAAAAAGGCTGAAGCACTTCTTTTCAACTTCCTAGGGCGCGGTAGTAAGCATGACTTCGTGAGAACTCACATACGAAAGCGTCGGGGTGCAGGGTTACGTCTCTCTTGCGTCCTGAGTAGAAAAACCGGTTTGCGTATTGAAAAAGCGGTCTGACTTGGGTCGAAATGAGCGTCTGGAAGCACTTCGGCAGAATGTTGAGCCGAATCATCCGTAACACGACGAGTGTCTTTTGAGCCAGCATTTAATGGTAAAACGAGGAGGGCATGTTTGAGGAGAGCCAGATATATAAATTATTTCCGATACCTGTCCTCTTCTGCCCCATTATCACCATGAACGACGTGAGCCAACGCATTCGCTGAATCCCCTTCAAGCGACATGTGGACGCACTTCTCGTCACTCAGAGTAGCCAGCGGCTAGACGCTCAATGTATTTTTCTGAAAACGCCCTGCGGGCGAAATAAAAACTTTAACGTCAAAATGTTGCACTTCTTTGCATATATGCGTAGACTGAAAACCCCCCTAATCTGTCGTCATTTTTTGCGATTTGTTTTAATCGATGTCATTTGAAAATTATTGGCGCACATTCGCCTTTGAACTTCGTCTGCTATG